GTGTGTGTGTGTGTGTGTGTGTGTGTGTGTGTGTGTGTGTGTGTGTGTGTGTGTGTGTGTGTAGAGAGAGAGGGGGAGGGGAGAGGAAGAAAAGAGAACAAAAAGAATTATTATAGATGAACAACATCAAATCATGAGAAAGAGAGAACAGATAAACTTCTCGAATAAAATATCTCTCGAAGAGGAATATGTTGAATCAATGAAGCGGTAAAACTTGGACATAGGAGAGACATGTACGAGGTATTTTACGTTTTATAAATTTTTTACATTTATCGAATATTCGAGAAAGTTTTTTCAACACTGCTTGCTCTTATAATTTATAATCAAGTCATCCGCGAGGCGCGAAAGATGAGTCAGATATCCAATATATTTTGCAGGAAAAATATTAAAATACTTATATCTCGTCAAGCAGAAACTTCGCAGTTTTGAATTAGTTTACATCGATCTGTCGAGATTCTAATGTCAATGATACGTGCTGTGTCATTGTACTTGTACTTCTTTCTGTTCCTTTTGTCGAAGTTCACTCACGCTTATCTTAGCATTCCTTACAGATTATGGAAGAAAAACAAAACTTTTGAGTTATGTAGATATACTAAAATAAAATATTGATATATTAATAAAATATTGAAATATTTAACTCATGAGAAACACAAGTAAAATTTTTTTTCACAGCATATATTTTACTTAGTATAGGAAAATATTTAAAATTAACATCTAAGAAATACTTTACTTTGAATTAATTTACATAAATTAATGACCTGTTGTATGATAAACAATACATTTAAAAGATAAAAAATAAAAGAATGCTAGAATAAGATATTATAATTAATTTAAAAGAGAGATCTTACAATATATTTTTTATTAGAATTAATCGTAAAATGAATTAACTAGTCAAAAAACTGACTATAGGTAATACAATTTTTATATTGATTTATTAAAGTTTTTCTTTCTTTCTGTCTCATAAGATATAAAAATTTTTAATAAACTTTAAATGTACAAGTAAATTCTTTATGAAATCTTATTATGAATTTCAGCCGAACAAAATACTGTACAATGTACCATTCACGAAGTACGTGTTAATCCATGCAGAGAAGCTGAAGAAAGAAAGCCCTGTTCTTTAAAGAAGGGTCAAGATGCAAGCATAAGTTTTGACTACACCCCCCGTAAGTGTATTTAAAATCATACATGCTTAACATACATATAATAATGAATAAGAATATACTTTCAATTTTATGAATTTGTGATTAGAGATAAAATAATAGATCACATTTTTTTATGTATATAAATATTTTATATTCAATTTGATATTATACAAGAAGTTAGAAAATAAAATATAACAATTAATGATTGTAAGAAATTATTATAAATCATATTGATATGTTTTGAACCAAACATGAAACAGAATAATTTTTGGAATGCTACCAATGAGAAATACTAATAAAATAATTATATCAAAATTATGTAAAAGGAATAAAAATTGCTATTCAAATAGCGATTTAATACTCAATAAACAATTAACGATAACATAATATACAACTTTATATAATTTTATATTTATATCAATATAACTGTTACATACTATATATGCTATATTACATTTATATTGTTGAATGTGAAATTATAATATTGATGTTATATTACAGTTAGTTGATATTTATTGAATACTACAATAGCGAATATAATCAAATTAATCAGTCGTGGTAAAGATGAAAAATCATTTATATGAAATCAATTAAAAATGTTCTTGCTTTATACTTTCATTTTTATTTTTAAATAAAAAGATATTTTTTTAATTTTCCAAAACATATCAGTTTTGCGTGATTATTAATATATATATATTTTTTTTGTTTCAGAGTTCAATGGCTCGTTATTTAGCAGGGCATACTGGGCTTCTGAGATCGTAGATTTGCCATTCTTAGGTATGCCAATCGATGCCTGCCCATCCACTACTTGCCCAGCTTCACCTGGTCAAAAGCAAACGTATTCAGTGGTATTGCCTATCTCTAAAAAATTCCCTACGGTAAGTGATGCTTCGATCTCTATTCTGATTCTTACGAAAACCCTCCACAAGTTTGTTGACATCCCATATAGTTACTTTTTACATTGAAATCTAGTCAAATCTTGAGATGCTAAGCTGATGTAGAGACATGAAATTTAAACGTAATTCAAAATGTAAAAAGAAAATTTATGTTACAACACATAAGTTCTGAAATAAAACAAGTAAATTGGTCTTAAAATGTTTTTCTAAAGAATATCTTCTTTTCTTTTATTACAGCGAACATACGATCTCAAATGGAGATTGTGGAATGAACAAGAACAAGAATGCTGTTTTATGTTTCAAATTAAATTGGTAAAATGAAATTGTTGTTCTTAAATTTTCAATGTATCATCCTTCACAATGATTATAATTCACCAATCAATAATTTAGTGAAATAAATGATATTCATATCAATAACATTGCGTTCCATTATACCCATCTTTATATCATATATTTCAAATACAATAAATATTTATCAGAATAATAATAATAATTAAACAGCTTTATAAAAATATATATAATTATTATGATCAATTAACGATCTTAAACAAGTACGAAAATATTTCGTAGAGATTACATATATTATATATTAAAAATCTACTTGATTTTTTTTCGAAATGTTTCAATTTTATTTTAAATATTTTAAGTATAAGTTTAGATTTACGGAATATATATTGGATTTTTAAAATTATTACTATTTAAAATTATTACTTTTATATTACTTATATATGCATTTACATATGTACGTTCTACAACGTAAAATCAATCTCTACTAGTTACAAATAAAACTCATTACTCAGAGATAATATTGACGACCTCCACGAGATAATTCCTTTTGCGAAGTAAAGCCATTATAATTTATAATAGATGAATACTGCATGGAAGAAATGAAGAAATCTCTGTAACTGGTATTCATTAGTAGTAGTAGTAGTAATAGGTATTGGTTAGTTCATTTTTATTTCAAGATCACCTTTATAAGTAATGTCTCAAATGCTATATGTGGTTCTGCGTTTTGGTTTAGGGCATCTTAAGACGGTTTTAAACTTAAGAATAGACTATGCAAATTCCAGCTTTTATGCTGCGTATTTAAAAAGTAAATCCATTTTTATACTAGCCAGGCGTCATTTACTTTCTAAATGTTTCAAGTGAAACGCGTTTATATTTGAAATGTGATCAGTGAAGTCTATATGTTCTTAGACACAAATTATAATCTTATAAATTTTAATTTTGCTATTTCCGGAGTGAGTATTTTCACAATTATCTTATCTACGGAAACCAATTGGATTTATGAACACATACACATTCATTGCAAGAAATTGAATTAATAATATATTTTAGTGACCTTTCTGTCCAACAAAAATTATTAAAAATATATTATTCATTTAAAGAAATATCAGATATTTTTTATTGTATGACAAGTGTAACATAATATATATTAATTTTATTTATATATTAATAAAAATGTTTTTTTGCGTGTAATAAAAAATAATTTTATTAAAATGTGAATTTTATTTTAAACGTACATGATTTTCTAATGCATGTATTTATAATTCAAAATCATTTTTCAAGTTCAAGTTAATATTTCTATTCACTCATACACATTAGCAATAGCATTATTATTAGCAATAATAAGTTACTAAATATAATACAACGATCGTATAATTCGATCTATACACGCAAAACATCCTTGGACAAACATAAGAAAAACACAATAGACAACACAATAGATGATCGTTCGTTCAGTCACACACGGTGATACACCGTGTGATGCAAAGGCCCACAATGTAACGCGGCCTCAGATGTCCAATCAAAGACGACACTGCTAGAAAAATAATTGGCCACAATTGTTAAATTGTGCATTTCCTGATAAAAGTGACCGGAAGACGGTCTCATCGTCGATTCTGTCGAAATTTACAATACGCGCCAAGTAACGATGTGCGAGTTCATCTGACTCGCAGTCCCTTAGATCATTTTAAACTCAATCGCTTTGATTCTTTTGTCTTCAACGAAGAAAAGTAGGAATGTGGGTCATCCGTCGAACATAATCGGAAGCATTATTTTTCATCCGACCGTCAATTAAGTTCGATCAAACGATTTTTATTCGTTCAATATCTATTATTGTTCTTTTCACAATTGTTTCTTTAATTGTTTCTTGTATTTATAAATTTCGTCGTCGGGAGAGAATATCGACTGTATCAGTTTCATTTATCTTCATAATGTTACATCCATCCGCGGCGCCTGCGATAATTATATTCATGAGTTATACAGTAGAGTCAGACTAGGTTACACGAGCAAATGAGCGACCGACCGAGTTAGATTAGATTAATGGCGCCAAGACAGAAGATTGATATTTCAATGTTACTTATTGTTTGATTGCAAAGTAGTATTCAGTAAATATTGCAATACTGATTGAAGTATAAATTTTGAAAGCTACTATTTATTTTGATATTTTGTAGTCTATAATTTTCCAAACTAAAAAAAACGATTTTAAATTAACTTTCTTAATTTACCTTATCATTGTTGATTCAATATTAATATCCATATTAATAATTTAATAATTAAATACATTAATTATTTTAAACAATAGCTATATTTCTATATCAGAACAGAGTTTAGATAAAATATCGTTTAACTCTTTTAAATTTAATTGGCTTCAATTAAAATTAACGTTATAATAATTTGCGTAATATATTTCAAGTAAACATAACTTTAAACATAAAAAATTAATTATCTATCTGTCTATAATGCTAAACTGAGAGAAGTCTCACCATTAACGTTGAAATATTACACAAGATAAAATATCTCTGAAGTTTCAATGAAATGTATTGTTATTTCGCTTTCGCGGATCCACTTATCAAGACATTTCTGCCGTCAGAAGTTACAATTAATGTGACGATTAGCGGCGATCGCGACCATTGTCAGATGCACGTATAATAATAAACCAATTGTTAAAAATCTTATTGCACGAAGGAGACGCTTCCGGTCCTTGTTACAATCGATTGAGGATAACCGTAATGAAATAATTATCATCCGAGCGCAGCTCGGCGTGGCCCGAGGTCAGGGGCCATAATAACAGATCACTTGACGATCCGACTCATACGGCATACGTTGTAACAGTTAATGCGCAATTATTCAATTGAAAGCGGTTGATTCACGCAGGAACTGGCCACGGCAAAAAGTTCAGAAAACACATCGTGTAAATTTTTGCACACGAATTTTCGCCGATGAAAAGAAGCAAAGAATTGTTATACCGATAACAAATTCTAATAGTTACAAAAAATACAGTGTGTGCTTTAAATATCATAATTTTCAATTCTGAAACTATTAATGTTTCTATATTTCTGCTAATAAGCATTGATTCTAATTGATTCTAATTGAAGCAAGGAACAATGCTATGTACAAACGTCCCATTAATTCCGGTATTTCCAATTGTTGCATTATTAAAGCAGCTTTGTAAGCCGCTTAACATTGTGCAGCTAATGAACATTTATTGGTATTAAATAAATCCTAGAAGAGAGTTTTACCTGCAATAATATCATTTATTAAATATAAAATTTAACAAAACACGTGATATAGTAATTATTATCATTACATTAATAATAATACAAATATTAAAAGGAAAATAATAATAATATAATAATAGAAACACTTATAGAAAACTAATTAACTGTACAATACTTAATAAGTATATCGTCAGAAGAAAAAGTGAAAATGGAGATACGTAGCACCAGCTAGAGACTCTTAATTTATCTATCGTTCTTAATATATTAATCAGAGTTAATTACTGGAAGTACAATCAAATTTATAAACAATGCATTAATGATGCACATTATTTTTTAATAACTCTATACTCTTACACACACACACACACACACACACACACACACACACACACATACACACACACACACACATATACACACACGCACGCACGCACGCACGCACGCACGCACATACACACAGTCTATGTATTCTCGAATAAGAATACAGAATTCTTTCGAGAATACAGAGTTCTTTTACTCGCATCATAATAGCGTAGCTTTTCGTTTCTGTGACCCGCGATCATTTGTTGTCGTTGCGACAAGGGAACAGGTATCGATTCTTTGGTATCGACATAACGCGGCGCATGCTGCCATGCGACCAAAATTTTGGATAGTAAAAATATGAGACGAGCAAAAATATTTTATTTTATGCCAAATCTAATTGTTCTGCATAAATTATCTATATCCATCTCAAGATAAACAGAATCTATAAAATAATATATTCGATAATAAAAAATTTCACAGTCTCATTTTTTTATGTTTTACAAACGTTCTACAATAACATTTATATGCGATATTTTAAAATTGGCAGAAAATATCACTACTTCTCACAGAATTGGGTAGACTTTTGCAATATAATGCAATGTAATAATTGAAAATAACTGATATTTATGTATTATTATCGAAAAAAGATATTGCAATATTGAAATATAATGAAAAAAGTCTCGGCCATACCACTTCGACGATGTACGTCTCTTTGGCAAACATACTTGTGTAAGATTGTATTGTTCCCAATGTGCGCAGCTCTTCTCGTGTTTATATATAATCATCGACTTTATCGGCGCCACGAATACGGCACACGGTACGGCCGTAACATCAGCTTTCAATCTGTATATATAATCTAAATGTACTTAGTAATCTCATTATTTACTGAACGATACGAGAGTTGAGATCCTTGTGGATCGTCTGTGTATCTCTACTCTTCTTGTATAAAAATACAATGATATAAATCTCTTAGCACTACCGATAATTTATCAGTAGTATCGTATTTACATTTTGATTGATTCCCTCGTAAATAGTGATTTATTTTTTATCTAAAAATTATATATTATAATTATACATTCGAGCAAGTCGTTCTTCCTTGATGCTCATTCATTAACTCTTTTGCAACAAGAAAAGTGTATAAACAACATTAAGTACATAATTTAAAGTTCATAATTCAAAGTCAATGTTTTTTAAGACTCTGTTTTAATCCTAGCATAACTTCCATCGCAAGCCAATTATTTCGCAATATTCGAAGAAACGCATTATCGATTTACGATAACGAGAAAATGCGAAATATTCCAGGAATGATTACGATGGAATGATTATCTAGGTTATATAAATATATCCGAAACAAATATGTTTGAAATTAGCTGAAACGATCAATATATAGCGTACTTTCGAAAAATTCGTTCGAAAAGATGATATATATACGAAGACTATTAGTATTATAAAGATTTATAATATCATTTATAATATAACGATAAACAATATATTATTTAAAATATTCTCTTTAGATATTTCAATTTTTCGTACTTACAGCGTTTTTTATACTTTTTATTTATTTAAACACGCAAATGTGTACTCAAAATTAATTCTTCAAATTTTAAT